GTCTTTTAATCTTTTTTATATCTCTGTAAGTGTGGTTCTCTTTTTATAACTTTTCATTATGTATTTATGATTTTAATTTGATGTAAACCTCCCAGAGTCCCCCATTGTGAGGAGATGGGCGGGGACAAGTCCACTAAATAAATAAAATAAATAATAGAGAAAGAGAAAAGAGGAGAGGAGGGGAAGATATGTTGACTTAAGCATATGGAAACCTATGTACAGTTTCTGGATTTGCTACCTGCTAAATAACTGAGGATTTTTCTCTTATCTGTATTTGAACTAGTATTGCCATTAGGACAGGACTTTGAGACAGAAATCCAGGAGACAAGTCAGCAGAATGAATAAGGTGAAGCCCAAATGCAGCAGGATAGTTGGAAGTAAATGCATTATATCCAGAATCTAAAATTATTTAACTAAACCACTGGTTTTCATTGTGCATGTTCTTCTACCTTGTTCACTTACTGTAAGAGATTCTAAAACCTAATGCGATTCCTGAAATGGAAGCCTGAATGAAACAAGCAACTTTCAGAGTACTTCACTGCACTTTTCCAATGGTATCTTAAACATGAATTTCTTCAGCCCACATAAAATAATGATTTCATTAATGGAGCTTTCAATCAAAGTGTCACATCATGGGACATTTTTAAACCTTTGTAAGAATCTCTGAACAATTTCAGGGAAGGTGTTGACATTATAACAAATAATGTTGTCCAATATCTGTAGATATTAATCATTTGCTTCTGCTTTTTTTAAAAAAGAGAATTACATTTGTAGTCCACACTACACTAGTTAAAATTTTGTGAAATAGCTGTAATAAAATGATATAAGTAAATGTCAGTACAGCTAAATCATACAAATATATTTAAATAATCAATGTCAATAAATTATAAAACCTGCATTGCAATAAAACCTGGTTCAGTGTACAATTCCATCAGACCCTAATATACATATGTACACACACACACACACACACACACACACACACAGAGAGAGAGAGAGAGAGAGAGAGAGAGAGAGAGAAATGCTATCTACCTATATAAACCTAAAACATAACATTAAGGTTCTACTGCAATAGTTACTAATTTCTAAGGCTTTTTTCTTTAATAATATAAAGGATAATTGAAATATGTGTCCCTATCCAATAGAAAGAAGCCAGACAAGTGATGCTCCATTTGGATTAAATGCCTGATCCAGTTGTTTTTCTCTCATTATTTTAGAAAATTAGAATTAGAACTTGGGGAAATTGGCATCCACTTACTGACATACTTTTTTCTGCTACATCAAGAGTAATAATGTTTTCTACTCTGGCATCATTTTTAAGTACCTTAATCATCAATCATGACATGTGGCAAAAGTGTTTATTAGGCTTTGAGTACATGGATCATAAAGGGTCCTAAAGTACTCTCAAAACACTGTCAGCAGTAGTGACACAAATGGAAGCTGATCTCAGGATGAAAATATTTCCCATTTAACTAACACATGAAAGCAATGTAATTAATAAACATAATAATGAGCATTCTGAAAAATGTTTCTCAATTATCTTGTCCAAGTTGTCTAGCAACAGTTTCGTTCTTTCTTTTTTGCAGAATATGTTTATAATCCAGGGCATTAAATGCCTAAACTCCACTTTTAAGCAACTTAGTTCTGAAAGAGATTTTTTCCTCCCATTTAGGGTACACATTATTTGATTTTTTCTCTCTCTCTCTCTTTTTTTTTAAAAAAAGAACATTTTATTCCTATGTAATAGCACAATGACCCAAGAAAAAGACAGCAACATCCCTTTGGTCCGAGGAGAGCATTTTCAGAACACTTGACATTCAATACATTTTAATAGTTGTCAGCAGATATGTAACTGCTATCTTTTATCGCTATTAGTTGGTTACCCATCTTGAATGCCAAGCTGCACAACAGATACCAACTGTGAAAACAGACCAATTCATGATAAAATTATATCCTGTCTGTGAGAAATTATCCTGAAAAAAAAAAGACTGAAACATCTGAGAACCAAGTGTTCACAGCCTGAGATTTAGTGACCAAGCAGAAGTAGAAATAGATTTTTAAAGATGCTAAACCAGGGCAATCAATCAATAATATTTATTTGGTCAATGACCAGCAAAAAAAAAAAAAAAAACAGAAACAGAAACAGAGTGGAGCAAATGGATACAATTATATACTAAGAGCTAATAAAATAAATCACATAATAGTATAGCATTCACTCCTCTATTACTATATTGGTACATATGTTACCTTTATTGGTGATATAGATCTAAAACATTAATAAGTATAAAATAAAAGATATATATTCCCTAACAATTTATTATTTAAGTTATATCAAACCAGAAGTAATATTTAGATCAAAGTTAGTTATGTCTTTAACTGGTTTCATCTTACTTTCACTGCAGCAACACAAAGTTTAGCTACTGCACATGTAATGAATGGTTTTAAATCTTGAAGAAGGTTCACATAAAAGTTATCTGGACTCCCGGGAAGTTTCTCTATCAGGGGCAAGAAGTAGATTGACCTAATATCCCTATAAAATTTACAATGTAATAATAGATGTGAGATAGATAATAGATAATAGATGAGATAGTTTCAACTTCCTCATTACCACATGGGCTACACTCAGCTAAAGGGATTTTACTATACCTATCTTGAAGAAGTGCAGATGGAAGGATATTGACTCTAGCTTTTAAAAAATATGATTCTCAACTTGGGGAAAATTAGTTTTGCAGATAACTTG